TGTGTTGGTTGTGATGTTCCGGTTCATACTTAGTTGATCTCTCCTCTATGGACAAATGCTTTTCACTAGTTCTAGCTACTGATTGTCAAGTTCATGTGTGTTGTGATGTTCCGGTTCATACTTAGTTGATCTCTTTTCCACGTGCATGCGCCTTTTAACAAGTTCTAGCCTCTCATTGTCAAGTTCATATGTGTTGTGATGTTCCAGTTCATACTTAGTTGATCTCTCCAACATGTGTATGTGCCTTTTCACTAGTTCAATCTTCTCATTGTCAAGTTCATGTGTGTTGTGATGTTCCGGTTTATACTTAGTTGATCTCTCCTCCATGTGCATGTGCCTTTCACTAGTTCAATCTTCTCATTGTAAAGTTCATGTGTGTTGTGATGTGCCTTTTCACTAGTTCTACCTTCTCATTATCAAGTTCATTTGTGTTGTGATGTTCCAGTTCATACTAAGTTGATCTCTCCTCCATGAGCATGTGCCTTTTCGCTAGTTCAATCTTCTCATTGTCAAGTTCATGTGTGTTGTGATGTTCGATTCATACTTAGTTGATCTCTCCTCCATGTGCACGTGCCTTTTAACTAGTTCAATCTTCTCATTGTCAAGTTCATGTGTGTTGTGATGTTCCGGCTCATACGTTGTTGATCTTTCCTCCATGTGCGTGTGCCTTTCACTAGTTTTAGCTTCTCATTGTCAAGTTAATGTGTGTTGTGATGTTCCGGTTGATACTTAGTTGATCTCTCCTTTATGTGCATGTGCTCTTCACTAGTTCTAACTCCTCATTGTCAAGTTCATGTATGTTGTGATGTTCCGGTTCATACTAACTTAATATCTCCTCCAATAGCATGTGCCTTTTCACTAGTTCTAGCTTCTCATTTTCAAGTGCATTTATGCTCTGATGTTCCGGTTCATACTTAGTTGATCTCTCCTCGATGTGCATGTGCCTTTTCGCTAGTTCAGTCTTCTCATTGTCGAGTTCATGTGTGTTGTGATGTTCAGGTTCATACTCAACTGATCTCTCCTCCATGTGCATGTGCCTTTTCACTAGTTCAATCTTCTCATTCTCAAGTTCATGTGTGTTGTGATGCTCCGGCTCATACTTAGTTGATCTTTCCGCCATCTGCATGTGCCTTTTCACTAGTTCTAGTTTCTCATTGTCAAGTTCATATGTGTTGTGATGTTCATGTTCATACTTAGTTGATCTCTCCTCCATGTGCAGCGTTTGCGCTAGTTCAATCTTCTCATTGTCAAGTTCATGTGTGTTGTGATGTTCTGGTTCATACTTAGTTGATCTCTCCTCCATGTGCATGTGCTTTTCACCAGTTCAATCTTCTCGTTGTCAAGTTCATGTGTGTTGGTTGTGATGTTCCGGTTCATACTTAGTTGATCTCTCCTCTATGAGCATATGCTTTTCACTAGTTCTAGTTACTCATTGTCAAGTTCATGTGTGTTGTGATGTTCCGGTTCATACTTAGTTGATCTCTTTTCCATGTGCACGTGCCTTTTCACAAGTTCAATCTTCTCGTTGTCAAGTTCATGCGTGTTGTGATGTTCCGGTTCATACTTAGCTGATCTCGGCTCTATGTGCATATGCTCTTCACTAGTTCTAGCTTCTCATTGCGAAATTCATATGTGTTGTGATGTTCCGGTTCATACTTAGTTGATCTCTTCTCTATGTGCATGTGTTTTCACTAGTTCTAGCTTCTCATTGTCAAGTTCATGTGTGTTGTTATGTTCCGGTCCATACTTGGTTGATCTCTCCTCCTTGTGCATATGCCTTTTCACTAGTTCTAGCTTCTCATTGTCAAGTTCATGTGTGTTGTGATGTTCCGGTTCATACTTAGTTAATCTCTCCTCCATGTGCATGTGCCTTTTCACTAGTTCTAACTTCTCATTGTCGAGTTTATGTGTGTTGTGATGTTCCGGTTCATACTTAGTTGATCTCTCCTCCATGTGCATGTGCCTTTTCACTAGTTCAATCTTCTCATTGTGAAGTTCATGTGTGTTGTGATGTTCCGGTTCATACTTAGTTGATCTCTCCTCGATGTGGATGTGCCTTTTCACTAGTTCTAGCTTCTCATCGTCAAGTTCATGTGTGTTGTGATGTTCCGGTTTATTCTTAGTTAATTTCTCCTCCATGTGCCTGTGCCTTTTCACTCGTTCTAGCTTCTCATTGACAAGTTCGTGTCTGTTGTGATGTTCCGGTTCATACTTAGTTGATCTCTCCTCTATGTGCATGTGCTCTTCATTAGTTCTAGCTTCTCATCGTCAAGTTCATGTGTGTTGTGATGTTACAGTTCATACTTAGTTGATCTCTCCTCCATGTTCATGTGTCTTTTCACTAGTTCAATCTTCTCATTGTCAAGTTCATGTGTGTTGTGATGTTCAGGTTCATACTCAGTTGATCTCTCCTCCATATGCATGTGCCTNGTGTGTTGTGATGTTCAGGTTCATACTCAGTTGATCTCTCCTCCATATGCATGTGCCTTTTCACTAGTTCAATCTTCTCATTGTCAAGTTCATGTCCCCAACGGGGGATTGTATGGATCTTTCCTTTGTGTGAGACTGTGCAGGTAAGTGAAGGCTAGGAGTGCCTCGAGCGGGATAGGGCCGGGAGGAACCGGGCGACAAAAGGAAAAGGGAAGAGGGGCAAAAGGGTTACGGGACACTTAGCATAAAGCCACTCCTTGGAAATGACCTTTGTGTTTGAGACTTGGAATGTAAAAGAGAGAATGAAGTGCAATCTTGCCAAGAGAAAAGTGAAGTTGTGTGTGCATGCATGTAAAGGCCTCGAAAAGACTAAGCCTGCGTCAATAGGGTTGAATGAGATGTACGAGGTCCGATGGGTGCGTAGAGGTGAGGAGGAGGAACCCCGATGACGCCGTAGGACCACAATGGTTAGGGAAATGGTGCGCGGCCTAAGGATGACGCTTAGCCTGCGCACAAGAGAAGAGAAACTCTCACAGAACCCCTGGATTGCCTGCGTATTGGAAGCAGCAATTGCTTGATAACATAACCAAGAAGAAAAAAAAAAAATCAGCGTTGCCGAATGACCTGCGAGAGTGCCACCCGGCGTGAGGGCTGAGCTACATCCCCAATGTCCAAGCTCTCTCGCGCGATGGCCCACCCCCATCCATCTCAAAGCACTAGGTGGGGGTGACCCTGGGACAAATGGCCCGTGCCCTGAGCATGAGCGTGGGCGGGCAGAGCCAACTGGGACCCGCAGTGGGGTCGACTAAGGCTCGAAAGTCTACCGGGGGTTTGGCCCTACAACGTATCGAGGCTGCATTCTACATGTTGATACGTTCGTGAATGTACACACAAGAGGAAAAAACAAATAAGCAAAAAAAAAAAATGACAGACCTTTTCCCCTCAAAACGGCGCGACTGGCTGTGAGAGCGGCACAGGCGGTAGGCTTCGAAAGAACTGGAGCCTCGCTCCACTTCCACGAATGGTGCAAAATGAGAATGAATCTTCCGTCGGACCACGGAAAGATACAGAGAAGAGTAGCACGGTCATTTGACACGGTTCGTGGAAGTGGAGCTGACACCATTCGTGGAAGTGGAGCGAGGCTCGAAGCCTGCTGCCTGTGCCGCCCTGACTGCCAATCACGCCATGTCGAGGGGAAAAGGTCTGTCGTTTTTTTTTTTTTGCTTATTCGTTCTTTTTATCTCCTTTTTCTTTTCCTTTGGTCGCTCCTTCCATTTCCAAAACGAACGACCACCCGCGTTGTGCCAAAGCTCGACCAAGCCTCTACCGGGCCTGTCCAGGGCTTTTCTGAATTCAAGGAGACGAAAAACAGCCTGGGCAGGGTACTGGTGGTTTAAGGGCTGCCCTCAAGTAGGCGGGCTTGAGGGTCAGCGGCCACTCAGCATCTACGGACTGCAAGATGCTACTTCGTTCTTCAGCATCGACGGGGGATCCGGCGTTGCACTTTGGTGTTCGAGTCAAACCCTCCTAGGAGATAGGACACTAGTGTCGGGGTAGCGTTAGAGGGGTCAGGAGGACCACATGAGAGGGGGGTGAGTTCTATTCATCTCGAAGCTCAAGGCCACTCAGGTAAGTGTCGTGCACCTATGGGATGCCCATGTATGTGTGTACTGTATTGATTGCCCTGCTGGGGTACTCTGGGTTTCTTTTCCTACTCCTCTATGGTCTTGATTGTGTGACTGAATGCATGTGATCTACCTACTCACTTGATGGATGGAAAATGAAGTCTATTGACCTAAATACCGAATCTTTCTACAGTGCTTTGTCTTTTCATCTCTGAACAGTTGTAGTCTGTAGTTCCTGCCATAAGTTGAAATTTCGTTTTTTCTGTGCAGTAGAAATTGAACTAAGTCTATGTGGAACTCCTCTTGGTTGGGACCTGGTTGCAACCTACGTGGGACCCCTGGGACCCAACGGGACCGGGCCTAAACAAGAAGAGCCTCTGGACCCAAATCGGTTAGACATTGACCTCTTGTCTTCTTGGCTGGGATACGGAGTTTATTCTTCTTGGATTAGGACACCCACTGCCGAGGGGATCTTCGCTGAGACGTTTTGCATGTCTTTTTGGATTGCACTGTCCGTGGCACGACTGACACCCTGTACACCACTCAATTCTCCATTGTTGCATTTAGTCACTCATTGTTTGGTTTGTTGTACGGTCACGGAGCTGGTCAGACTGGACTCGAGAGGACCTCGTATGCAGTCTGATCAGACTGGGTCGCTGGATCAGACCTCTCGTTTGAACTTGTTCGTTTTTTTGGTTTGCTGCTCTCTACGTCCAAATGAAATGTCGCTCCGGCTAGGAGTTCTACCTTCTCTTCTCTGAGCTTTCAAGTCTGCTTTTCCGAGTTCATTTTCGATGCCCGTGGAGACCCGCCGCTGGAGAGAAGAGAGAGAGAGGAGGGAGAGAGAGAAGGGAAAGAGGGAAAGTGACCGTCAGGAGTGGGCAAGGACTGGGAAAAGGAGTGTTCGTCCAAGTGAGAAGGGGAGTGAACCTCTTGAGAGTCTATTCGATTATTTTGCTGATTGGCGACTCTCTGACCCACCTGTCAGTACTAACAATCCAAAAATGGCTCAGCTAACTTCAGTGCGATGGACAGCCTTGTTAGATGCAGCTTATGATGCCGAAAAACCGTATCTACAAGCACTCCTAGATAGTGCAACCAAAGGGGAACAGGAGGCAGAGAAGGGGAGGAAGGAGACATTGTTGAAAAGGCAGGTGGCCATCCTAGAGACTTTTCCCTCACCGATTGAAGAGCAGTGTGGGGAACAGTTGCAGTCTATACTCACCGCCCTTGTTCAAGTCCAGAATCTTGAAGATCATACCACTCAAATCGCTAAAGTCTTCGCCAAGTTGCGAACACTTCAGGATGACTTGACTGATATGACCCGCAAGTACCATGAACTGACAAAGGAGGTGGCTGAGCTGCGAGAAGCCCAAGTGGCCAATCCTCTTCCTCTACCCCCCGGACCTGAAGCTGCAATTGAAACTACCTGTGCCTCTCTTACTGTATCTTCTTCCTTGAATGTGATGGCAACCCCCTCGGGATCTGCAACAGGTGCAGATTCCGCTGTTGTTGTGACAAGCAACGAGGCTGGAAATTCTGCAACTGCTGCAGCCCCAAGATTGGAACCAGCGGGTGCTGGTCCCAGCCGCGTCAGTCGCTATGTGGACCGAAAGGCGGTTCAAATACCATCTAAGTATGACGGCAAAGAAGACAGAGTCCTGGATCAGCTCCATGAGGGCATATTTCGAGGTTCTGGGACCCAACCTGAGACCCAGTCCGTGATCATGGGAATGAACGTCGAACCTGTTGTGCGGGGCTTCTTAGAGGTCCAAGCTACACGAGCTGGGATTCCTAAAATTGAACTAACCAGATGGCTTAAGGCCACCCCGGTTGCCTCCCTCGAGGAACTCCTCAGTTCGCACTACTTGGATCCACATGCTGCAGCAAGGGCAAGAATTCAGCTTGACAAAATCAAGCACAGCAAGTGGGCGGGCTCCATGAAAAGCTTGCAGACCTATCTTAGCAAGATGTTCGCTACACCCGGATTGGAACTGACTGCTCAATCTTACTTGGATGAGGTCAAAGGCGCGGTTCCCACCAACTTTACTAATCGCCTGGGCAGGGACTTCATTGGTTACACTGACTGGTTCACCTTGATGAAGGACATAGTCGGTCTGGAGGCCGTAGACCACAACAGGCAGCAAAAAGCCCATGGGCGGCAGGCAGTTCAAAGGAAGCAACCGTTTTGTTGTGCATGACCTGCTGGAGGTCGAAGACAAAACCGATGCAGATGACCCCCCTCTTGGTGACGACCAAGAACAGGACTCTGATACAACTTGTTCTTCAGCCCATGAGTCTGATGCGAACAAAGAAGAAGAAAAATTTACTGCCTTTAAAAATATTGCCAATGCACAGGGATCGAATCGGAGTGCAGGCAAGAACTATGTCCAACTTCCCAAGGGAGTCAAGATCCCACCTAAACCGGAGGATGCGACTACCAAACCTTGGGTCGACCTCCGGATCACTGAAAATGACTGGCGGGGTAGACTCAAGAAGGGGGTATGGCTGGATTGCCAAAAACCAAACCATAAGGTACAAGATTGTTATAGGCTACAGGGAAACTAGAACCGGGCGTAGAGTCAACTTCAGCAAACTCTACAGCAGGGGAGACTGAATCTGAGGCAGACCAACAGTCCTCCCTTGAAGCCCAATCACCTGCTGAACACAAGGCTGAGGTGAGTAACGTTTTGTATGTCGAGCCTTGGAAGGAGTCTGGGACGGTCGATTTTCACTACCACTTCGAGCATTGGGCTGAGATGAAACAGCAACGTGCCCAGGGGACGGTGAAGTTGATCTTCTTCAAACTTCTCATAAACCACCGCTATCTCCGTGTTTTGGTTGACTGTGGCGCTACGGCTAACTTTATGTCACCTCACGAGATACGCAAAGTGGGCTTGGGGATGAAGCAAGTGGCCTTGCAGAACCCTTGCCGGACCCAAGTTGGCAACAAAGAAGTTGTCTCTTCTACGCATGTAGTCAAAGGTGTGCGCACAACCTTTGACAAGGACAACACTGTCACACACGCGTTGAACTTCTACGTTCTTGACAAGTGCCCCTTCGACGCTGTCCTTGGCTTGGGTTGGTTGCAGTCCCAATGCGAATGGACGAGGTGGAAGGAGTCACTTTTCATGATCAAAGATGCTCGAGGGAACGAGCTTCCTATCCTCTTGGATGAGAAGCACGAGTCCCCAGTGACTTTTCTAAATGATGTGCAGTTCTTCAAGAAATGGCGCAAGCACAAGGAGGAAGAACAATTGTATGTTGCCTTTGTTCGTCCTACCCATGTGCCATTTACTTTTGCGGTTAATACCACTACTACTTCGACTAGTGACCCCACTTCTAGTACTTCTACTTCTAGCACCTCTATTTCTCTACCCTCTAATGGTCCAAATGATCCTACTTCATATTCGGTCGTCTCTATACGCGACTTGCAACCAGATCTAGGCGATCCCTTTGCTGATCCCCCACCCCCACCCGTCCCACCAGACATCCAAACCTCCTCGATCGGTTTCCGAAAGTTCTGGCCGAGCCACGTGGAGTCCCCACGCGATCAGTCCGACACACATCGAGTTGGTTGAAGGTGTTGTTCCTCTACAGGGCTGCGTATACCGAATGGGACCCGACGAGTTGGAGGAACTCCGGCGAGAGATTGATGAGATGATTGGCAAGGGGTGAATCAAGCCTAGCGAATCTGAGTTTGGTGCTCCTGTGTTGTTTGTCCCCAAGAAAGGAGGCAAACTCCGCATGTGTATTGACTATCGCGGTCTAAACCGCATCACAAGAAAGAATGCCTATCCATGGCCTCGTATAGATGACTTGCTTGATGTCGCAGGTGGGTGCAAGGTCTTCTCCAAGATCGATCTCAAGTCTGGCTACCACCCGATTGAAGTCGATCCTGCGGACCAGCACAAGACTATGTTCAAAACACGCGATGGGCTTTACGAGTTTACCGTAATGCCCTTCGGTCTCACGAACGCACCGGCCACCTTCCAAAGCCTCATGGACAAAGTCCTCCGCGGACAGATTGGCCGGTTCGTGGTGGTCTACCTCGATGACATTCTAATCTTCAGCAAGTTCATGGAGGAACACCTTAAGCACCTTGAGGAAGTACTGACCATCCTCAAGAAGACGCAACTCCATGTCAACTTAGAGAAATCTGAGTTTGGGAAGGATAGTGTCATCTATCTTGGGCACTGGTTGTCTGCTGCAGGCCTAAAGCCTGAAGCTACCAAGGTGGAGGTCATACGCAACTGGCCTCAACCCGTGAACATTCGCAAACTGTGTTATTTTCTTGGTCTCGCGTCATACTATCGGAAGTTTGTGCCCCGCTTCTCCATTGTTGCTCGTCCAACTAACAAGTAAGAATGTTCCCTACTCTTGGGACACCGTGTGCATGAACGCCTTTCAAGCCTTGAAGGACGCCTACCTGGTACTCCGCATTGAAGATCCCAAACTGACATTCGTAGTTACTATGAATGCAAGTCAGTATGGAATCGGCGCAGTGCTACAACAAGATGACGGCGATGGCTTGCAGCCACTCGAGTACTACTGCAAACACATGCCCAGCGTAAAGGTAGCCAATTCCACCTACATGCGCGAGCTCTATGCTTTGCGTATGGCGTTGGACCACTGGAAACACTATCTTTTGGGACGCCACTTCAAAGTCTTCTTAGATCATGAGACTCTGAAGTGGATTAAACAGCAAACTACCCTGTCCCCTACCTTGCTTCGTTGGTTCCATGAGATTGACATTTTCGATTTTGTGTTATAATCGAGTCGTGGACGCATTGTCTCGCCACCCTAAGTACATGATTTGCCTTGTCAAATCCTACGACCTCCAGAAGAAACTGAAGGAGGAGCTCGTAGAGCACACCGCCAAGGATCCGGAGTTGAGTTCCATCCTTGAGCTACGGGCCGACCCTAGCAGAAAACCTGATTTTCACGAGTATGGAGGACTACGGGAACCACGACCATTTGTGTGTGCCCAACCGTGAGCCTCTCCGCACACACTTTCTGGATTTGGCTCATGGCCGGAGCGGACACTTCGGTATGGCAAAAACGTACGCAAATTTGCTGAGACAGTTTGATTGGCCTAGCATGAAAGGGACTGCTGAAAAGTTTGTGGTTGAATGTCAAGTCTGTCAACGAACCAAGCCATGCAGACAAAAGTCGATGGGGCTACTCACACCCCTACCCATTCCCGATGGTCCCGGGGAGTCCGTCGCCATCGACTTCACTCACATGGGAAAGGTAAGTAAGAGCGGCTACTCACAAGTCATGGTGAGTGTTGACCGATTCTCTAAGTTCCTCAACCTGATCCATTTGCCGCCTCACACCCCAACAGAACTAGTGATTCGTGAGTTCCAACAGAAGTACATTCTGGGTGAGCGATAGGGATCCGCGCTTCATTAGTACTGAGTGGAAGGACTTCACGTCTCAATTGGGGATCAAGCTGTGTATGACATCTGGCCGACACCTCGAAGCCAACGGTTTGGCTGAGGAGATCAACAAGACTGTGTTTCAACTTCTTCGCGCTTTGATTATCCCGGATCAGGAAACATGGGATGAAGAGTTGTATTCCGTTAAGGGGTTATACAATAACTCCGTCCACTCCGCCACTGGCATGACACCCAACAGGCTGCATTACGGTTGGCAGATCCGGAATCCGCTCTCTTACCTATTCCCTGAGCAGCCAGCTGGTTTAACACCCGGCAAACCTCGCTTCAGAGCCAAGTATGATCGCTTGCTCAAAGTTGCCATTGCAGCTATGACCAAGCGACAACATGCCATTATCCATCATGCGAACAAGAAGCGTCGACCGTCGGATATTCAGGTAGGAAGCTATGTCTGGGTCAAGATGTCTGAATTCTTAGAAGAAGAGGGAGTCTCACGCAAGCTTCTCCCTCTCTATTATGGGCCCTGGGAAGTTTTGGATGTGATTGGTGAAGATTACTTAGGCCCTTCGTACATCGTTGATGTGCCAGCCCATCTGCGCACATACCCAGTGTTCCACTCATCCAAACTGTACCTCCACTGTGATGCTAAGACATTCGATTATTGCGAAGATATGATCCCTCGCGCAATCAAAGGCGGGCATGAGATAGACAGAATCAAACAACACGTAGGGAAGGGACGCAACAGACCGTACCAGGTTCACTTCATGTATCACCCAGTAGACGATCTGTACTGGATTTCCAAACAAGAAATGCTACGCAGTGCACCGCGTGTTGTCAAAGCATACGAGCGACAAATCGCCACTAACGCTGTACCTAAGATCTTTGCAAGGCTCACTGCAACAAAGTACTCTGGGAATCTTTTTGCCTTGGTCGCTTACGATGCGTTTGTCGAGGACTCAGAGTGAGTTACTCGCTCGAAGGGACCTCGCTCTTGAGGGGGGAGTAGTGTGATCACCCGTCCATACATGGACTGAAACACACAACTCATTTCTGAGTTTTGCCCATAGACTGAATGCCCTGCTGAGTTTCCCGCTTGCTACTAAGTCTGTGTGTGCATGCTTGCTGGACTGCATGTCTGTCTGAGTGCTGGATGGCTTGAGTGTGTGTGTGACCATGCCTGTCTGAGTGTTGGTTGGCTTGGGTGTGTGAGTGACCGTGCCTGTCTGAGTGCTGGTTGGCATGAGTATGTGTGTGGCCCGTCAGGGCACTTGCTCGTTCGTTGGGCCCTCAGGGCCGGTACTTACCTGTGGCAGTGACATTGAGTGGTTGCAGCGAGGGAAAACACTCAAGTAGCGGGTAGGCCGGTACCGCACCTGGAAGGGGTAGATGTGCAGGTACCGGAGGCCGAGCAGAAAAAGACACAAGTGGCATTTTTAGAGGCCCAGTAGTTGTAGGTTAGGTCTAGGCGGATATCAGTCCAACCAGTCTGGGTCTAGGGCCTGTACAGGCAATATCAGAGTCTGCAATGATGTTTCCCTCCGAAACGGAGGAGGTACCGGTTGCTTGGGAGGCCGGGCGGCATGGAAGTCACCGCCCAAGAGGCAAAGCCGGACGCTATATCTTCGGGCCGAGCGGAGACCTCTTTTTCGGTGTGCAAGTTTGGCGGCAAACTAGTGGAGCGTTGGCTGGAGCAGCGTTATGCTGGTGCAGCACTGCGGGGGAGGAAGGAGAAGGACACGAGGGAGGAAGAAGGAAGGAAGGGGGAGGAGCGCCAGGGGTACTTACCTGGCTATGGTGGCAGCCATCTTCATCACCTTGGTGGGCGCTGAAGCAAGGAGCCCCCAACTGGGGGGAGCCACACCAAGAAGCTTCAAGGCAGGGTTGGGCATAGGGTTGGGCATAGCGGCCTGAGCTAGAGCAGCCATAGCTGCTTTGGGTCGTCCTTTGGGCATCTGGGCAAAGCCTACTAGTCCACCATAGCCTCGGCCTATGAGAGTGAAGAGTGGGGAGGCGGCCATGGCTATGGTGGACCTCAAGTGATACCTGCAGTAGAAGAGGGACTCAGACATTGATTCTGGATCAGTCATTCAACATTGTATTATTATTTCTTGTATGAATAAGAGAAGGGGGAGATAAGGAGGAGGAGATTGTTTGGCGAAGACGAAGAGCCTTATCATCTGTTTTGCTGGTGTACATCATCTTCTTCTTCTTTCTTACTTCTTCTCTCTCCTCAAAAGTTTATTCATTTCTTTCTGCAATTGGATGGCATTGTACTTTTCGATGGATGTGTAACTCGAAATTGGCCAGGGTCATAACACAGAGGAAGATATGATTGTCACGTACTTGGCACCCACAGTTGAATTGAGAAATTGGCTGATCAATGATAGACGAACGACGGAGATCCAATTGGGAGGCCTTCGGGCCGAAGTACAACAGCTTCCATGGAAATTGCCATTGGAGATGCATGGAGAGAATTGCAAAGTGAAAACGGTGGCCATGGGTCAAAGTCTACAAGTCGTCGCCCCTGGCGGCGAAGTGGATGCATGGAGCAGTGGAATTCTTCTACGGCTCGATTGTTGAAAAACAAACCTTTGAACAAGAAGATCGCGATATGTGAGGTATGTGATTGATGGTCCACTAAAAACCCGGTGAAAAGCATAGTGGCGGTAGCAACTGGCCCCTATAGCTTCGAGGAGGTCAAGGTGGTCACGAGTGACACCCCCTTTTGCGAAGTCTCCTTTATGAACGGACATCTGGGCCTGCACGGTTGCTGCCTCACTCCAACGGAGACGCTACAAGAGGTCCAAGCTAGAGAGACTAGGAATGCGATGGACGCGGAACTGCAGTCGAACCCCGTCTTCGAGCGAAGGGCCGAGAGCAAGTTAGAAACCCAAATGGACGGACCGTTGTCCTAGCAGGCGCGAGACTCAGGAGAGAAGACGAAAGGAGGAGAAGGGGTGGGTGATGGGCAAATGGAGATGAACAAGGGGGATGACGACGAGGATGGAAAGGTTGTGATTTATGGGGGAGGAGGGGGGGAAGAAAGGGGTTGGGATGGGAGACAACAGCCGACAAAGAAGGAGAATGGGGGTAGAAAGTAAGGAAGGGGGGTGGGAGTACAAGTTGGATACAATGCAAGGGCAGAGTACGAAAACAAAGCAAGGGACAACGATGACTTTGGGAAGGAGTCTGGGAGCTCAAGGAAAGCCCGCGAAGGAGGGGATGAACCAAAATCACAGAAGGGGAGCTTAAAGAATCGAAATCATAGAGGGGATGAATCGAAATCACAAAAAAGGACCTTACCCGACAAGGGTAGGCATACGCAGCATGAAAGGTCATTGTCGAACGAAGGTCAGGGCGAGGGGGAGAGACAAAGCCCGAGGAAGGACAAACGGGGAGCTGTAGGCAGGGAGGGGGTAGGAAAACTGGTAGCACAAGGTGGCTCGCCCATGCGGGAGTCAAGCAGTGTGAAGGAGCTGGACAGGGACGTGAAGTCGGATCAATCTGGCATGCGCTGCGGTCGAGGTGGACCGAAGTGTGACAAACCGATAGTAATTGAACGAGACAAAGCAGGGCGACCGCCGGTGACGTATAGACGTAGGTCCAAGCAGGTGACGACGGGGCCGCCCAAGAGCTCCTCCTCGGCGGAGTGTGTCCCGGTCCCCACCTACTCTTCTACTTGGAAGGATTCACTATGAAATAAGCATGCCTGCCAACAAAAATTGAATTGACAAATGAGCCCGGGAGTTTCAAGGGAGAGGGACCGTTCCCCGATGGGGACTGTAGGGTATGAGCCGAGGTAGTGGCTAGGAGGGAAGGGTCGGAGGGATGCATCGCCAACGCCCTCGCCCTCCCCCATTCCAAAGGATGCAAGCTTCAGAATGTCATTGGCAGGGATGGGAACGACTACAAGTGGCCAGGAGGAGGATGAAACCTCGACCACTTCACAAACTGGGACTGAAGGTGCGGATGAGCGAGGGGTTAGGGAGGAACAAGAACGGGAGGATGATGATGAGCGAGAGCATGAGGGAGTGCATGAAGGGGAAGAGGAGGAAGGGGAGCAGGCAGGGGGATGACAAGCAGAGGGGCAGGGAGCGAGCTCGGAGAGTCAAGTGCCACAAGCTAGTGTTGACACAGTAGGAGAAGATCAAGGAGAGGGGGGGGAGGACCGACGACAGCAGGACCTGTTGAGGGAGTTGGCATGGGAAGAGAGGGCAGAGACTGGCCTGAAGACTATTTTTCAAGAGGGAGAATGCTATGTCTGCCCCATCACCCTACCCTCTTGAAGGACGTGCTGCCGTGTATGATAGACTGCACTCGGACCAGTTTTGTGTCGAGACGACAAATCCTGTCGAACGTGATACTGGCGCAACAAATTTTGGAAGAAGATCAATGCTCAGGCTGTGCCAAAGCTGTGCCAAAGCTCTCGTCTCTATTGACCTCGAAAAGGTGTATGACCGGGTCCAATTGGAGTTTCTCCTACAGTGGATGGCATGAATGGGGATAGGAGGAATCTTCCGTACCTGAGTGAGATTTCTGTTGAAGGGAGCCTCAACCGTGTCAGATCCGGCAAGTTGAGGGTAACCAGGTCCGTTAGGCAAGGCTGCCCGTTGTCCCCGACCCTCTATGTATTCTATATAGAATCCATGCATGACATTTTGAGGGCAGATGAACGGCTGCATGCCATGAAGACCGACCCATCAGCAGAACTACAAACTACGGCCTTCGCGGACAACTCATGGACAGTGATTGTGGCATACTGCGCATCCACACGGGCCTGCAGGGCCCGACCAGACGGAAAATAAGGGCCCTCCAGGCCCTGTGTCGTTTCAGCCTAAAACCTTGAAAACGAGGGCCATTTTTAGACCCTCGTAAAGTCTACCTGCCCTGAAACTCAGGCGCCAGACCAGGGTTTAGCAAAGACCATTTTTGGGCCTGTTTCAAGACAACCTTTGTTTGAACTTCAACGCCATGGTCTGGCACGTTTCGGCATTGGCAAGAGCAGCCTCCCGGACCGGCCAGCACTATAAAGAACTGGCCCGCCCTGCAGGCTGCAGGTAGTTCATAGGGACTTCCCAAGCAGTTCACAGGCACTACACGTGTAGCCCTGCAGGCTGCAGGTAGTTCATAGGGACTTCCGCAAGCTTGTCCCGCTCCGCTCACCCAGTCTCTCCTTTCGCTGACCGCTCTCACACACACTCCAAGCTGCGCCACGTGTAGCCCGTTGTCGGAAGGCACGGTGTCCCGACCCTCCTATGTACCAAGTCTTGGTATAGTACCAGCTTCCTACTCTGGTGCCTGGGTTGTCTCTCGGCGTGGACAGGCCCTGGTGATGTAGCCCTCAGCAAAAGGGGTGGGGTGCGCCATAGGACTTCCATTGGTCCACGCAGACTCGGCGCCTTGTTGTACAGCAGAGCACAACCGGCCTGTGGCCGTGGTAGCCGCCGGGTTCGCCCTGGGACGTGGAGGTGAGAGGGATGGCTCAATCTTTTCAATTGCGCGCCAATCGCCCCTCTACTGAGTTATGGGTAGGATACATGAGACAGAAAAGTCGTTGTCGGGAAAAGGAAAGAGGAAAAGAAAATAAAACGCCAAAAATTTAAACCCGCTTCAGTATGGGGAAAATCCTGTGGCCTCGGGTCACTGCGATGCTATGTTTTCTTTTCCAAAATTTTGAATTGCCGATTCTCACCTGGTTGATCTGTCACATCATAGGGAAGGTCGCCGATTCAGGTCTCGGACCGCAACTGTCATCTCATGGCCTGGGTCTTATCGACCCCTTGTAAAATTGCCTACCGGGACTGTTTGTTTGAATCGTGCGGGCCTCGGTGGCCAGATTAAGAGGCAGATACAGTGAGAACTAAAAGGTGCGGGCCTCGGTGGCCAGATTAAGAGGCAGATACAGTGAGAACTAAAAGGAAAGGAAAATGGGAAAAGAAAGAAAATGAACCCCAGATCCGTGTGTGAGCGCGGGGCGTGGTTCAGGCAAGGCTGGTGCACGGAGAGGTTTTGTGACGCCACCCTTTCCTTGCTTTTCTTTTTCCTGTGGTTATTATTGTTATTTTTTTATTTTATTTTTATTTTTTTATTTTTTTTATTATTTAGTTTTCTAAGTCCGATTTTCTACCTGTTGGCTTGTCCTTTCGCGGGAAGCCAACGGTTCGGATTTTGAACCATCTTTTTGTGGCCTAAGTAGGCCGATCCCACGTATACAGTCAGCGGGTGCGCTTCGAACTGACATTGGGCGGCAGGACCATGAAAGGAGGGTAACCCGCGGCCGCATTGGTAGGAGGCTTATCACCCTCTTCGTGGAAGGTCATAAGCCCCCTCCTTGCCATCGGACACGGGTACCCGTCAGGCATAGGACGACGCTTGTCAGTATTTCATTATAGGATACCGGATTGGGTCGCCGTCTCGTCGTGAGGATTAGTGACTCTGCAGCCGCATAGTAGTTTTGGACCGTACTTCGACCGTTGAGTTTCTGTTTTTGAATTATTTAGTTTTGCTTTGCTTTTCTTTTTCAAAATATTAAAACTACTAATATGAAGGAGAATTCAGAAAGGGCTAGAGTTGGTCTCTTCCTTCAGTACGTAGAGTTACGGCCTATAAAAAAAAGAAAAGGGGGAGGAGAGTTTAGCTGTACGCACACTAGTTGCAGAGTACTTTTTGTCGCAGGGTGTTTCCTCTGCACTAGCGCTGCGGGCCTGAGACAAGAGAGAGGGCGGATCTTCGGGGCCTGTAAGGGGCTATCTCACTGCGAGCGCCCGGAGATCAGGTACTCGGCTATCCTGAGAGGCAATGGCGCTACACGGCTATAGGCCGGGGTGTTGGCGGCATACAGTGCGCTGGGTTCCAGTGTCGGGGGAAGGCCCTCAGATTATGACGGTCCAGGACTATGATGGGGGAGAGGTAGTCCGGCTGAAAGTCTGCATTGAAGGGGGGGAGAGAGGAGGAGATGCGAGCTGACCAGAGGCTGCAGGCTGCCATTTCCGAAGCGCGCGACAGGGCAGAACGGAGGTGCGGGCGAGATGGGGTGACCGTGGGCTTGAGGGTGACGGTCATCTATCACGAGACCGAGTCATCAACTGGGACCGAGACAAGGGAGGAGCAACATAACGAGAGAGACTCAGGTGGGGAAAGCGAGATGAGCGAGGCGGGCCGAGAAACGGATCTCAGGTCCTGGAACAGGCCCGAAGAGATCCAGAAACACCACCGAGCCGCGGAGCCAGTGGAGAAGGGACCCGAGGCTAGCTCACGACAGCTGACTCCCAGGGGCCGCGGGACTGGAGGCCGCGGGACCGGAGGAAAGCAGGGAAACGATAAGAAACGGGTGTGAGGCGAGAGAGAGGCACGACACGCACGACAGGGTGGTGAGGACGAAGGAGTGAAGGGCGGTTTACGCGGAGAGAGAGAGAGAGTGGTCAACGTGTGCTGATGAGACGCAGGGAAGAACGCGCGTGCCTGAGAGCATGTTGTCGACGTCATGCGCCGTCACCTCATTGGGACCCGCCCAGTTATCGTGCAGGGCATCGTTTTCTCTTGAGAGACCCTGCTGGCGAGGGTCGTTCTGAGTTGGAAGCTGCTAGGCATGAAGCGGAAGGTTAACGCGTGATAAGTCAGTTAACAGAGAAGGAGGGCCAATGGAAGAGGTAGAGGTGGGAACTGAGCAAAGTGCTGAGATGGTAAAGTCAGCAAAACTGCAGCGTATGCGACAAGCCAGAGAGGTGATTGTAACTGGCGGTGTGTACGACGTCTGCCTTGACTTCAACTTTTGTCTTTGCGCGTGCTTAGAGTGCCTTGTGACCAATAAGCCGCGGCGAACCTCCGTGACATGCTAGTCAACTGTTTGTCTTCACGCTCACTCGGAGTACTTCGAGACTAATAAGCCACGATTAGCCCCCGAGATACCTTGAGTATTCGCCAGAAGTGACTAGTCTCTGTTTTATCTCGCACGCCTCTTCTGAGTAATCAGTACTAAAGCGCTTTTGGCTCGCTCATCGGGCAGCTACGTTGCAAGCATGCAAAAGAAGCAGGTATAAATAAGTTCCTTTTAGTGCGAGGGACGCTGCTAGTTTTTCATGAACTCCGTCTAATGGACCCCTGACTGCTCAATCTCAGCCAGAAGGTCCTTTGACATGCTTCTGCTGGTGGTTGGCAGATGAGATGGAAGAG